GCTCTTTCTTATCACATACTTCTCAAAGCGACGATGTATTTTAATCTCATAATCATTTGTCGAAGCTTTGATCTATATGTTGTCATCAATTACCAAAAAGGGGGAGATTGAAAGTGCAACTATCCCTGAGTGGTTTTGGTAATTCCTAACAACATATAGCTCATTGAGCTAATACTATTTCAAGATAAATATTTCAAGAAAGCTCAATGATTGGCATGGCATGGATTAAGAATGTGGACCCCTCAAAATGCTAAGGACAAAAGATTGGCTCAAGCTTTAAAGCTCAAGACTCTACATTTTACCTTTTAGTGATCTAAGATCACATTGAGTCCATAGGAAAAGCCAATACTATTAAAAGAGGATGAGGTGTTGCTTAATGGGTTACTTGCCCAAAGTGCTTAGTGATATGCTCCAAAACCCTCAACCACTTTCTCGTATCCACATATGTCTCAAACCAAAAGTCAAACTCGGCCCCATTGAAACTTTCCATCCGGCGCCACCGAGTTCAGTTGGCATAGCCACTTCCATAAAACCCTAATCTTTTCGGTCTCACCGATAGGGATCTCGGTCTCACCGAGATGAGATTGCAAACTTTTTGTTTACCTTCATAACATTTAGGTCTAACCGAGATGAGCGATCGGTCCCACTGAGTTCGCAATGCAAACTCTCTGTTTCTCCTTCGTAACGATTCCAGTCTAACCGAGATAAACGATCGGTCCCACCGAGTTTGCCTGACCAACTCTCTGGTTAGCTTATTACCAAAATCGGTCCCACCGAGTTTGTGTAATCGGTCTCACCGAGATTACGTTATGCCCTAACCCTAATGAAATCGGTCCCACCGAGTTGACATATCGGTCCCACCGAAAATCCTAACGTTCACATTTTGAACTAAATTGGTCCGACCGAGTTTCATGATTTGGTCTCACCGAGTTTGGTAAATTGTGTGTAACGGTTAGTTTTTGTGTGGAGGCTATATATATCCCTCCACCCACTCTTCATTTATGGAGAGAGCCATCAGAACATGCCTACACTTCCAACTTACATTTTCTAAGAGAGAACCACCTACACTTGTGTTGAGATCAAGATCTTCCACTCCAACCACATAAATCTTGATCTCTAGCCATCCCCAAGTTGCTTTCCACTCAAATCATCTTTCCACCAAATCCAAGTTAGTGAGAGAGAGTCGAGTGTTGGGGAGACTATCACTTGAAGCACAAGAGCAAGGAGTTCATCATCAACACACCATCTATTACCTTTTGGAGAGTGGTGTCTCCTAGATTGGTTAGGTGTCACTTGGGAGCCTCCGTCAAGATTGTGGAGTTGAACCAAGGAGTTTGTACGGGCAAGGAGATCGCCTACTTCGTGAAGATCTACCATAGTGAGGCAAGTCCTTCGTGGGCAATGGCCATGGTGGGATAGACAAGGTTGCTTCTTCATGGACCCTTCGTGGGTGGAGCCCTCCGTGGACTCGCGCAGCCGTTACCCTTCGTGGGTTGAAGTCTCCATCAACATGGATGTACAATAGCACCACCTATCGGAACCACGCCAAAAATCTCCGTGTCTACATTGCGTTTGATCCCTCCAAACTCCTCCCTTTACCTTCATGTGCAATGTTTTACATGCCGCTGCTATACTCTTAGACTTGCATGTGTAGGTTGTTTACTTGACTAGTGCTAAGTTGCTAAAATCTGCCAAGTCTTAAAATTGGGAAAAGGCTAGATTTTTATTTGGTCAAGTAGTCTAATCACCCCCCCCCCCCTCTAGACATACTATCGATCCTACACCTAACCAACACCAATTTTTTCCAACCTGAGGAAAACAATGAGCACTGAAGGAGACTAGTCTAGAGGGCAGAGTTGTTGATCCATTGCTCTAACATTTCAATAATGGAGAAAGTCGCTCCAGAAATGGACTTCTTTTCCCCAGATTGATTGATGTTAACGTTTTATCTGCAGAAGCTTGACCATATCTAGTGATCTTTGACTTGTACGTACATGTGTACAAAGATGGACACGAGAATTCCATTGAATTTTCATACATACAAGAATAATAATGCAGGTAAGACAGGCAAATAATTGGCACAACTCAATTGGCTATGGATTGACAAGCGGGTAAAGTAGAACCATATGTTGCAAGATCAGCATCTGGAGCAGCCTTGTCAGGATACAAAATGTGGCCTGATGTCTACTACACAACCTTCTTCTTGTAGACGTTGTTGGGCCTCCAAGTGTAGAGGTTTGCAGGACAGTAGCAAATTTCCCTCAAGTGGATGACCTAAGGTTTATCAATCCGTAGGAGGCGTAGGTGGAGATGGTCTCTCTCAAGCAACCCTGCAACCAAATAACAAAGAGTCTCTTGTGTCCCCAACACACCCAATACAATGTTAAATTGTATAGGTGCACTAGTTCGGCGAAGAGATGGTGATACAAGTGGTATATGGATGGTAGATAAAACTAAGTGTAAACGGTATTGCAATGTGTTGAAACAAGGCCTAGGGTTCATACTTTCACTAGTGCAAGTCCTCTCAACAATAATAACATAATTGGATCACATAACTATCCCTCAACATGCAACAAAGAGTCACTCCAAAGTCACTAATAGCGGAGAACAAACGAAGAGATTATGGTAGGGTACGAAACCACCTCAAAGTTATTCTTTCCAATCAATCCGTTGGGCTATTCCTATAAGTGTCACAAACAGCCCTAGAGTTCGTACTAGAATAACACCTTAAGACACAAATCAACCAAAACCCTAATGTCACCTAGATACTCCAATGTCACCTCAAGTATCCATGGATAGGATTATACGATATGCATCACACAATCTCAGATTCATCTATTCAACCAACACATAGAACCTCCAAGAGTGCCCCAAAGTTCCTACTGGAGAATCACGACGAAAACGTGTGCCAACCCCTATGCATAAGTTCATGGGCGGAACCCGCAAGTTGATCACCAAAACATACATCAAGTGAATCACGTGATATCCCATTGTCACCACAGATACGCACGGCAAGACATACATCAAGTGTTCTCAAATCTTTAAAGACTTGATCCGATAAGATAACTTCAAAGGGGAAACTCAATCCATTACAAGAGAGTAGAGGGGGAGAAACATCATAAGCTCCAACTATAATAGCAAAGCTCGCGATACATCAAGATCGTGCCAAATAAAGAACACGAGAGAGAGAGAGAGAGAGAGAGAGAGAGAGAGAGAGATCAAACACATAGCTACTGGTACATACCCTCAGCCCCGAGGGAGAACTACTCCCTCCTCGTCATGAAGAGCACCGGGATGATGAAGATGGCCACCGGAGAGGGATTCCCCCTCTGGAAGGGTGCCGGAACGGGTCTAGATTGGTTTTCGGTGGCTACGGAGGCTTCTGGCAGCGAAACTCCCGATCTATTCTGCTCCCTTATCATTTTAGGGTATATGGAGATATATAGGCGGAAGAAGTACATCAGGGGGGCACGAGGGGCCCACGAGGGTGGAGGGCGCGCCCAGGGGGGTGGGCGCGCACCCCTGCCTCGTGGCTTCCTCGTTGCTTCCCTTATGTGGACTCCAAGTCTCCCGGGTTGCTTTCCTTCCAAAAATAAGTTCCGTGAAGTTTCAGGTCAATTGGACTCCGTTTGATTTTCCTTTTCCGCGATACTCTAAAACAAGGAAAAAACAGAAACTGGCACTGGGCTCTGGGTTAATAGGTTAGTCCCAAAAATAATACAAAAGTGTATAATAAAGCCCATAAACATCCAAAACAGAAGATAATATAGCATGGAGCAATCAAAAATTATAGATACGTATCATGGCACGCAGCAACCGGGTTAATCCTACGGTTGTCGCAGTTGCATTGAATCTTCCATGCGAGAATAATGCAGGTAGGCCAAGCTGCATCACTGGCGGAATTCAACTGGCTATAAACCTTGAGTGTGGTAGGCAGTCGCGAAGGTTGATCTATGCCATCCATTGCTCAATCCGACCGCCCGGACACCGCCATTCCCACGGTTCAGAACAGAAGAAGATTCATCCACAAGTTCATGACTAACATGTTAGCATATGCGGCTGTCACCGGTGCCATATGTACACTACAATTGCCATTGCATTGCTTCCAACAGATCATGGTATCTTCAACGAGGTGGCCAGGCAATTCAGCTCGTGGAGCTCCGTTCCCGGCCGCTGAGTTAGCATAAATTGCTTCCAGGGAGAAAAGAACATAAACATATAATGGCTCCACTCGAAAGTAAAAATGTTAGTAGTACTACTCCATGAAACAAAAGGTATAATTTGCACTGCATAAGGAGTTACAGACAACAAATGTTTCCATGGGCAACATTTTAGGCATTGCAGACTTGCAGTTGGTTGATAGTTTAGTCATGGCTACGTATTTTAAACAACTAAAACCATATTGCATGCACATCACTTTTCAAACCAATGTATTTGATCATGTCAAAGATGAAAATGAGCTCGTCGTGATCATGGGGCAGGTATGACAAGCACATCATTGGCAGAATTCAATTGGCTATGGGTTGACAAGCAAGTAGAGTGGAACCATATGTTGCAAGATCAGCACCTCGAGCAGCCAAAAGTCAGGATACCGAATGTGGCATGCAGCAGTTGGGCTTAATCCTTGGCTCCAACATGTCGTCTAAGAAAATTTTATGGATGTCACAGTTACATTGAATCTACATACGGGAATAAGGCAAGCCAAGTTGCATTACTGGCAGGCAGAATTCAACTGGACATAAACCACGAGTGTAGCAGGCAGGCACGGGGGTTGATCTGAGCCATCCATTGCTCAATCCAACTTCTCGGACATCGCCTTTCCCACCCTTTCCCACGGTTCAGAACTGAGGAAGCTTCATCCACGAGTTCATGACTGACGCGCCAGCATGTGCGGCTGTCACTAGGTGCTATATATGTACACTATAGTTGCCATTGCATTGCTTCCAATAGATTGTGGTATCTTCAAGGTGCCACTTTCGCTACCACAGCCAATTCTGGCCATGACCTCCGCTAACAGCGGCGATGGCCAGAGCAGCTCAACAAGGGCACACTTCACGCTAGTGCAACTGTTGGCGCAGGGCCACACCATCCCCAGGATCGACATGGCGTGCCTGCTGGCAGAGCATGGCGCGCAGGTCAGCTTCATCACCACGCCGGTGAACGCCTCCAGGTTGGCAGGATTTGCAGCCAATGTGAAGGCGATGTTCCTGGTGATTCAGCTCGTGGAGCTCCAGTTCCCGGCCGCTGAGTTCGGCCTACCGGACGTTTGTGAGAACCTCGACATGATTCATACCATGGACCTGCTCTCAAAATTCCTGAAGGCCATCGGTGCGCTTCAGGAGCCGCTCATAGCCCACCTCCGTGAGCAGCAGCACTCGCCTCCGAGCTGCATCATATCTGACATGATAAACTGGTGGAGAAGTGACATTGCCAGGGAGCTCGGCATCCCGAGGCTCGCCATTATTGACTTTTGTGGTTTCTCATCCCTAGTCAGGTACAACCATGAGAGGCAAATTTTCAGTAGTAAATTTTGTACTGGATGTATTTTTCCTGCTATAGTTAAGTGCTTTACTTCAACAGTAAGGGGATATTAGTGTAAATTACTTCTAGAGAGAAAACAACATGCACATATAAAATGCTACAGTCGAAAGGAGACAAGTTAGTAGTACTACTCTAGTACTCTATGAAACCAAAGGTGTAATTTGCATTACATAAGGAATTACAGACAACAAATGTTTTCATGGGCAATTTTTTAGGCATGTTGCAAACTTGCGGTCGGTTGATGTTTGTCGAAGAAGTCTGCACCTCTATGCATTTTAAACAACTAAAACCATCTTGTAGGCACATCACTTTTCAAACCAATGTATTTGACCATGTCAAAGATGAAAATGAGCTCGTCATGATCACGGCGTTCCCAACACCACTAGAGTTGAAGAAGGCTAAATCCCCTGGAGGCGTTTCCATTCCTGGTGCGGACCAAATCCATGGCATGATCCTTGAGGAGACACTGAGATGCGACGGTGAGGTCATTAAAAACTTTCAGGAGCTTGAGGCATTGTACATCGAATCGTTTGAGTAGATGACAGGAAATAAGGCATGGATGACTGGGCCAATGTGTCTCTGCCACCGAAACAACAACGCAGTAGCCGCAAGAGTAAACAAGGCGTCAACGGATGAGGCACATTGCTTTCAATGGCTTGATTCAATGAAGCCAGGCTTAGTGGTCTTTGTCAACTTTGGCAGCCTGCTTGCACTACACCTCAACAACTTGTTGAGCTGGGACTGGGACTTGAAGCCTCACAGAAACCATTTATTTGGGTGATTAAAGGAGGAGCTAAGCTTCCAGAAGTCGAGGAATGGCTCGCAGATGGGTTTGAGGAGCGTGCCAAAACAAAGGCATGATCATAAGGGGTTGGGCGCCACAAGTGATGATCCTGTGGCACCAAGCCATTGGAGGATTTGTGATGCACTGTGGGTGGAACTCAACAATAGAGGGTATTTGTGCATGTGTGCCCATGATCACATGGCCGCACTTTGTGAAGGTGTTTGTGAATGAGAAGTTGGTGGTAGATGTGCTGAAAATCGGGGTGGATGTTGGAGTGCAAGGAGTTATACAGTGGGGAAGTGAAAACAAAGAAGTTATGGTTATAAGAGATGCCATGGAGACTGCAGTGAACACCCTAATGGATGAGGGGGAGGTTGCAAAGGAGTTAAGGGTGAGAGCAAAACACTACGCCATTATGGCAAGGAGGGCTTTCAATGAGGAAGGTTCTTCGTATAACAACACAAGGCTATTGATTCAAGAAATGGGAAACAAGATAGATTTACACGGTTGATACAGATGGTAATAAGATCTCTTTTCCAGTGTGAACATAAAGGGAAAGAAGCTATAGTACAACAAGGTTGTCTTGTCCTGTTTATATCAAAAGTAGCTAAAGGATCAAACTCAAGAGTAGTGAGGAAAATATATTGTTTTGAATGTACTGGTTAGTGCTCCTAGCTGCCAAAATCCATCCAAATATGCATTTTAGTCTTCTAAACTAATTTTCTGGATAAATGTATGTTTATCTTAGCTTGTGGAGGCACAAAGAGGTGTAAATAACTTCAAATAATCCATGGTGTAAGAAAAGCACATAAACAAAATGAATGTTTCATAAGAAGTGTCGAGACTTGCTGAACAATCATGAACAAGTATGGTCATCAATATTGTAGCGACCCGACCTCAAACAGTCAAGCCTCTGTGTATCCGTGCCATCCCTGGATCGGTATGCTGGCACACACAGTACATCAATGTATATATCAAAGTGCAATCACATGTATAAATAACGTAAAACTGATATATATATATATATATATATATATATATATATATATATACCTCATAAGTCTCAGTGGAAACAAACATAAGGGTGTGAAGTCCATCAACGCCAACGACAAGTTGAGTGTAGACCGTAAACCTACAACGTAACTCTTACTCGTCATAGAAAATTCCTGTAACATAAGACGTTGCAGCCCTGTAGGTCAGTACATTGAATGTATTGGCAAGTCACATCATAAGAGTAATGAACCTATTTGTATATGCAATTGGGCTGGTGGAAAGCTCTAAGTTTAGTTTTTGCATAAAGCGAGTTTTTCCCTAGAATAAAAGATATTATTCTATCAATATTGTATAGCATAGGATGAGTTGGTAAACCCAACTCAATCCATTCCCAAAGTTTCATTTAAAACCCAACTATTTAATTAAGAGTGATGAGATCTCCCAGCATTTCCACTACTAGATGCTCAAGTCGTCCGTAACCGGGGACCCGGCTAATCGATTAGGTTTTAACACTCTGCAGAGATTTGGCACTTTTCCCCACAAGACTCGATCGCCTCCCTTCAAATTCTCGCACTGCCTAGTGTTTGAGAACAGGATGACCGAGACATAGTCTTTCGAAAGTATTTCCCCTTAACCTACGGATAGGCCGGTACACCTACTCATTCTACATCTGCTAGCCCATCCCGGAAGGGGTCACGCTAACTACTCAACTAAGCCAGAGCCCATATTGGCTTGTGGTTGCATGCGTAAGCTTCTAGACATGAGAATACGATTGATCTCTTTGAGCCTGGGCGGCCGACCACTAGTGGTGCACCACCATGGATTAACCATGCATGCTCCCACTGTACTTCGCCACCATTCAAACCAAATACCGCCCAGGTAGTTCATTTACAAGTCTTGGTCCTGATTACTACTTTGTCACTCATGTCTCACCATGCTTGCTTCCCAAACCACGTCTACATTTAGCGAGGCAAAAATAAACTTACACGATGGTGACAAGGATGTATAGATCAGACCTACCTCAATGAACTACTAGGTAACGACATAGCCATCTGGCAACAATAAATCCTACCATGCAATCCTACCACAAAAGGACTAAGTGCATAATATAAACATAGGTAATTGGAAGAATGGTCAAAGGTGAACTTGCCTGGTAACAGTTGATGAAGATTATATCACTCTTAGAAATTTACTTAATAAAACTATTCGTCACTCTCCGATGAAAATCTATAAGGTCAAACATTGCATTCACATAAGCAATCATTTCGGAGAACCAAATAACATGCAACATGAAAAGACTCGGAAAATCCAAATGAACACACAACACACTTAACTATCAAAAGAAAATACTAAGTGCAAAACAACATAGGGCATGGGTGCAAAAAAAATTATGACGTGGACCACAGTGCATACTAGGCATACGAGTAAAACTACGATGGATAGATCCTAATGTGTGAAAAATATCGTGAGATAGGTCCAAGTGATAGGGTTTGGCAACGGTGACACGGTGCAAAAAGAATCACATAAATCGGAGCTACGGTTTAGGAGATATGGCCAGTTGAAGTTTGAATTCAAACCTGAATAAATTCAAATTTGAAATTGGCCAAAAGTTTTCAAAGCTGGTTCTCCGCATAAAGCTATTCGAGACGAACATTTTGCCGCTAGTTTCGTCGAATTTGGAGTTACGGTTAAAAAGTTGTGGCTAACTAAAGTTCAGGGACCAATCTGCAAATCCTAGGGACTAATCAGTGAAACAGAAACTAAATATACTGCAAACAGGCCCTTGGCCACGTGGCGTCTTGTGGCTGGCTGAGCAGCGTTTGCTGTGGAAGCTTATACGGCGAATGGCCGCTAAATAAGGAAAACACCTACCACGGAAAAAATAAAAGTAAAACCGGGATTGTTTTAACTAAACCGATCGGTTTAATAAAAAACGTGGTTAACTGCGTTGTTTTTTTATGAAACCAAGGGTGGGGCGGCTTACAGCGGGCGGTCGGTGGTCGGCGACGAGCAGCGATGGGGCGGACAGGGCGGCGGCTCCGGCGCTCCTCGTAGACAGGGAAGGAGGCTGCGGGGTCCGACGCGGCGTGGGCGATCCGGTGGCGGGGTCGGGGTGGTCGGGACAAGGCGAGGCAAGACGGCGACTCCAAGCTCCAGCGAGGGCGCGCTGCATCGGGGCAGCGACTCCGGCGATCCTAGGGGAACAAGAATATGTCAACCAGGTGCTCCTGGACCCGTGCAATAGCTTGGAGAAGAAAAACAGGGTCGAGGAGGCCATACGGACAGCGTAATACCCCGGCAAGGTAGCTCCGGCTGGCGAGATGCAAAGCGTCATGGTGCCGGCTATGGACGGCGTGGGTCGATGTGGAGTGGCAGGATGAGACGAGGAGGTCTGGGGGCATTTATAGGCACGGAGAGGAGGCGCGGGGCTGCGGGATAAGCCTTATCCCGAGAGCTTCGGCCGGCGGGTTCGCGCGGAGCGCGTGTGCGTGCTCATCCAGCGGGAGGAGCGGGAGGTTGGGAGTGACATGGGGAGTGGGCCCCATCTGGCAGCGACGGGGGGAGAGAGCGAGCGAGGGAAGAGGGGCGCGGGCGAGCGATGCGAGTAGCGCTCGGGCGCTGGGCTAGCCTGGCCAAAACTGGCCATGGGCCGGTTGGGTGCGCTCCTGGGCCGAACTGGCCTCGGTCCAGGTGGTGTGCGTGTTTTTCTTGCAGAAACAAAAACTTCAACATAGGAAAAATAGCTAAACTTTTTACGTAGGAATATTATATACCAAAATGTTCATAAAAAAACCCCGAATAAGATGAACTATTTTTCAAGTTCAACTAAATTCCATAAAATTCATAAAAGTCAAACAGTGCTACTATTCCATTTAAAATCAATAAAAATCATTTTTAAAATAGAAAAATTATTTCAAATTTATTTTCTCCTAATTTTCTATTGTAGGGAATCATTTTACCCTTATTTCCATTTATTTATTTTTAGGAGAAAAATAATTTGAATATAAACCCAAATAACTCCTAATTGGATTTGAATTTGGAATTTCAAACAACTTCAAATGGAAAATGAGTTTCAAATAACTTGAAAGTGACCTCCAAATTATTCCTTTGAAACTTCCAACTCTTTTATATTTTGAGGAAGTCATCTTATCCCCTCTCCTTTATTTTTCTTGAGTGGAAAATAATATTTGAACATTCGAGAAAACTCCAAAATGCAATAAATCATGAGAGGCAAATGATTTCAGATATTATTTTAAAATAACATCTACTGGTTTTATAACCCATTTCCATTTTCTTTCTGATAATTGAAGGAGTCATAATTCCTTCTCTCTTTATTTTATTTCAATGAATGGAAATGTTTTTGAAACTCAAACCGGAAAACTTTCTAAAAGTGAACCAAATAAATTTAGAAGTGCTCCTCATCACTCCCCACTCTATTTCATATATTTTGAAGAAGTCCTATTATCTTCTCTCATGAAAATCCTTGAGTGCCATAAAGTTTCTGAGTTAAAACATTCTCAAATGGAATTCAAATCTTCTCAACCCCCTTTTCATTTCTTTAAATGAAAGAGAAGTCATATTATCTTCACTCTAGGGTTTTGTGATGAAATGAATTTGAATTCAGGAAGATCAAAATGCAAGATGAAAAGTTTTGGGACAGTCCTTTTATTCCCTCGCATCCAACTTTCAAAAGTTTCAATTTCCACTCAATCAATCACACAACAAGCAAACAATCAATCATAATTATGTATTTAATATAA